TTCCAGAATCGACGAGGAGAAATTTGGCCTCTCTCTCGGGTACCAGTGGCCTCCCTCAAAGCATCGATGCTGGTTACCACATCCAACTCGATTAGCCCCCCAATCCCTTGCTACCCCTCCTCACCCCCCTCCCCGTCAGAATCGACGAGGACCCATCAGACAGCTGGCCTCTCTCTCGGGTACCAGTGGACTCCCTCAAAGCATCGATGCTGGTTACCACATCCAAACCTGCTGAATTCACCTCCTCTTCCTCCCCTCCCGTCCTCTCCTCTTCTCTTCACTCCTCTCCTTCTGACCCCCTTTCTCAGTATCGACGAGGACCCATCAGACAGCTGGCCTCTCTCCCGAGCGCCTCAAAACTACTCTACGTTGATTGAACGTTTGAGAATTCTCAAAAGTTTTGAGGCGCCTCAAAACTAGTCTCCTGAGTGGCAGTAGACTCCCTTGGAGCATTCGTGCTGATTACCACTTCCAGCTCCATCAACCCCCCTCTCCCCTCCTCTCTTCCTCATTCCTCCCTCCCAGAATCGACGAGGACCCATCAGACAGCTGACCTCTCTTCCGAGTGGCAGTGGACTCACGTGGAGCATCCACACTGCTCATCCCTTTCAAACCTGCTACCTCTCCTCTCCCCTGCTATCCTCACCTCACCCCTCCGCTTACTTTCCATCCCCTTCAGAATCGACGAAGACCCATCAGACATTTGGCCTCTCTCCCGGGTAGCAGTGGACTCTCTGGGAGCGTCCATGCTGGTTATCCCTTCCAAACCTGCTATCTCTTCTCTCCCCTGCTATCCTCCTCACCCCCCTCTCCCAGAATCGAGGAGGACCCATCAGACAGCTGGCCTCTCTCCCGGGTAGCAGTGGGCGCTCTGGGAGCATCCATGCTGGTTATCACTTCCAACCCCATCAACTCCCTTCCTTCTCCCCTTCTCCCATCCTCCCCTCCCAATAATTCCCCGTCAGAATCGACGAGGATCCATCAGACAGCTGGCCTCTCTCCCGGGTAGCAGTGGACTCTCTGGGAGCGTCCATGCTGGTTACCATACTCCTCGACATCTGGCGCCTTGTGATCGGCCCAATCACCCAGCTGCCGCAGACCAACACGTGTGCAAGCGGCCTTCCCTGGATGGGGTAGTGTATTTATACCAAGTTAAGAAAGGCGCAAGCTGAAGGAAACAGGACATGGAAATCATGTCAAATATGGAGCCCTTGCCCTTGGTTGGGTGCCTCATTTGAATTGAACGACTGCCCTGGTGATGCAAGAATGTATGATACACAACAACCCCAATACTACACTACATGCTCTGCAGAGGATGACTTGTAACCCCATTGCACAACGCTGTCTGGTGCCTGACTGCAGAGGGTTCTGACTCACAACCCCACTACAACACGCTCTGCAGAGGGAACTCCAGGCTACCGTCATCGCCCTGATATAAGACATATATGTCTTCTGTTATACACTAGAAAAAATGCTTGGGTTGTCTTGTATTTGAGACGGTTTAGGGTGTCTTATAAGTCTTATAAATAGACAAAAAAACCTTTCAGAAGATACCCCCCTCGTTATAAGAGTACCCCTAAACCCTACTACCGTAACGTACTAAACTCATACACACCTACAGGTGTCTTATAATAAGGAACACCCATTTATAAGAGACACCCGATTTAAAGACATCCCCTGTCTTCTATTCAACACTGTCTTACCGTATATGTCAAAATGTTTTAGTGCTTACTTTGTGTAGGCTATAGTTAGGTAGGGTAGCCCATAAGGGGTACAACCCAATTAGGGTTAGTACTTGTACCTAACTCTTTCATAGTTCATTCATTCTCGTTCGGTTGTTTCAACATGGTTTCAGAGCAGGTCCTTCCTTAGGACCAATTTTTTTAGGGCCCACCACAGCGCTGCCCCACTAGCTGCCCTGCCACCCTGCCCTACCTGACGCGCCGCCCTGCTGGCCCGCGCGCCGCCCTTTGCTAGCCCGTCGCGCCGCCCCTTGCAGCCTGCGTGCCGCCTTTAGCAGCCCGCGAGCCGCCCCTGCAGCACGCTCGCCGCCCCAGCAGCCAGCGCGCCGCCCCTGCAGCCCGCTCGCCGCCCCTGCGGCCCACTCGCCGACCCTGCAGCCTGCTCGCCGCCCGCTTGCGGCCCGCTCGCCACCCCTGCAGCCCGCTCGCCGCCCGCTTGCGGCCTGCTTGCCGCCCCTTGCAGCCCGCGAGCCGCCCTCTGGTGGCCCGCTCGCCGCCCCTTGCAGCCCGCTCGCCGCCCCTTGCAGCCTGCGCGCCGCCCCTTGCAGCCCGCTCGTCGCCCCTTGCAGCCCGCTCGCCGCCCCTTGCAGCCCGCGCGCCGCCCTCTGGTAGCCTGCTCGTCGCCCCTTGCAGCCCGCTCGCCGCCCCTTGCGGCCCGCTCGCCGCCCCTTGCAGCCTGCACGCCGCCCTCAGGCAGCCCGCTCGCCGCCCCTTGCAGCCCGCTTGCTGCCCTCTGGCAGCCCGCTAGCCGCCCCTTGCAGCCCGCGCGCCGCCCTCTGGCAGCCCGCTCGCCGCCCTTTCTGCTGGCCGCCCTAGCCGTGCGCCGCCCTGCCCTGCCCTACGCACTTCCCTCGTGCTCGCGCGTCGCCCTACCTGTGTGCTGCTATGCTGGTTGCACGCCACCCTGCTCTGCCCGCTATGGCTTCTCTCAGTGTACTCACGTTCGATCATGAGGGTCGTCCGATCCAATTCGATACGTGGCTCAACGACTTACAGCTGTACCTACTGAGCGATTCTAGAGACAACGTTTCGTTGTTTGACCACACGTCTGGAGCCTCTCTTGTCAAGAGAATGAACGAGAATGAATGAACTAGCAAGAGTTTGGTACAAGTACTAACCCTAATTGGGTTGTACCCCTTATGGGCTACCCCACTATAGCCTACACAATATAAGCTATACAAAATTTTGACACACCCCCATAGGCAAAGTGGGGGAGAATAAGTGGTCACAAGACCAGTCAAGAAAAGCAACGCAAGCTCGCGGTGGATCACAAAGTCACCACACAGTCCAAGCACAAGCAAAGGGCCACAAGGCCAGTTCACATGCAGAGTTATATAAAAGAGAACAAACAATACAGTGATCATACCCTAGCAAGTGTAAGCATGCAAGAACATATATAGATCAAAGTACAAGCACAGTCAAGAAGTGAGCAAGTGAGGCAAAGTAGGCACAAGGCCTAACACAGTAGAGAAGCGCTGATGATCACCAGGCGGAAGTGCCTTGGTGAATATATCAGCAGTGTTGGCCCTAGTGGCCACGTACGCAAGACGAAGCTGGTTACGCAGCTGCAACTCTCGAGCAAGGAAGTATCGCAGAGCGATGTGCTTCATTCAGTGCTCCAGTCTATGCTCTTGACACAAGGCAATCATGGCCTTGTTGTCTATGTACAGAATTGGAGGCGAATGAGGCTGCTCTCCCAAGTCAGTCAGTAGGTAGGTGAGCCAGCGTAGCTCCTGTGCAGCCATGGCCCCTACATAGATCTCAGCCTCACAACTCGAGCTGAGAACCGAATACGAGCGAGTAGACCTCCAGGAAACAGAGCCGGAACCAAGGCTGAAGGTGTAACCCTGTGACGACCGCTGCGTAGCAGAAACGTCAACCCAAGAAGCGTCTGCGTGACTAGTGAGGACAATTGGACCCCGTCCTCCAAGCACGAGCCCCATGCCCGACGTACTGCACAAGTAACGCAGTACCCTCTTCGCAGCATCCCAGTGCACCTTTCGGTGCCTACCGGGAGCCACGTAGCAAGCCAGAAGGCTGAGAGGGTATGCGAGGTCAGGTCGTGTGCACGTCATCGGGTACATGAGGCAACCCACAAGCTCTAGGTACAGACCACTCGGCTCTACGGACTCGTCCGAAGGTGGAGCTGAGAGCGAGTGGCCGGTAGACAGAGGAGTGGGCTGTGGCGAGGAGAACTGGAAGCCGAAGCGCTGAAGGACCTGCTGCACCATGTGTGACTGAGTCAGGGTGATGGTGCGCCGTGCTCTGTCCCGGGTGATCTGCGAGCCAAGATAGCTGCGCAGTTCACCCAGGTCAGTGCAGGTGTGTCTCTTCTGCAGCTCTGACTTCACAAGGGTCAGTGCCTCGGTGTCAGCAGTGGCAAAGACGATGTCATCGACGTAGACGAGGACGTAGAACGGCGGCAGCGAGGTGTCGGTGCGTAGAAACAGCGACGGGTCAGCGGTAGAAGGAGCAAACCCAAGAGCCGCAAGTGTAGTCCTCAGTGTGTCGTGCCACTCGCGAGGCGCCTGGCGGGGACCGTAGACTGGCCGGCGGAGGCTCCACTAGGTACCTGCAGGAAACGACCCAGTGAAGCCAGGTGGGCGGCGCAGCCAGATCTCCTCGTGAAGGCTGCACTGCAAGAAAGTTGTGCTGAAGTCCAGAGAGTTCATCTCGTAGTCACGCTGAGCAGCGACGTGCAGCAACACCCAAAGAGTACTCATCTTGGGGGTGGGGGA